CCTCAAAGTTTGATGCAAAAACGCATGATCGCACCGGCTCGCCTGGTGCGTTCCAGCCTGGATTTTAAAAATCAAGTGCATACATATACATTTATTTTGCAATAAGTTACTTGCTAACATTCTTTGTTTGTATTGTGTAAGCCGCGCTGTAGCATTTCTTATCCATTTGTGGGTTCCGTAAGCGTAAAATCAGCCTTCATGCACGCATATGCTTCGCGTACGGAAATTTGGAATCGAATTTAGAAAAATGTTGACACGAAAACGACTTTGGGTACTAGACAAGACAAAGATGTAAAATTTTATAAAGGTGCCCTCCGTCCATGCAGGCAAAAGAGTCTAAATTGTGAGTTCACAAACGTCTACTTTATGCGAACGGACGCGTCAAAGGTATTTTTGGTTGAGGATAAAATTAAGAGCCATTCAAGGTTGGAAGCTGAATAATGAAGATTGCCTCTGTTTATATACGAAATAAAGATTTTAAATTCAGCTTTAAAACTTAACTGGCTCCTGCTAATGCAGGCTAGCAAAAATTCAAATTGGGACTTTGTGAACACCCTTTTAACGCGGTAACCAGAATGTTTAGGAAGCAGTATATTTACGATAATGTTTGCTGTCTATGTTCGAAACTGCAAATATAAAATCATAGGTGACGCGCATCGGGTGGGCCCGTGCGATCATGCGCTTTTGCAACATTTCGTGCTGTAATGAGATCGCTCGGAAACCCAGTAAATATACGGGTCCTCCAAGTCCGGGAAGCCAGTAGACTACGCAGTACTTGGAGAGAGAACATTCCGTTTGAATTTCAGCTTTCTAGTTTTTCTGGTTCTTGAGTCAGCAATTTTGCTGCCAAAAATTTTCAGGGGGCTGTACTTAGTACCACACAATGAAGGGCTGAATTTGATAAATGTAAGTTGTAGTTGTTCTGGGAACATTCTCTGAAAATTTCAGCTCCCCAGCCTTCATGGTTCCCGAGTTAGCGATTTTCGCGTCAGGAATTCTCATGGGCATACGCGGAGATCACGCACATCTGAGGGCTGAATTTGAAATCTTTGAGTTTTATGTGGACGGGGAACATGACCTCAAAATTCCAGCTTTTTAGCTTTTCTGGTTCCCAAGTTAGCGATTTTCCTGCCAAAAGTTTTACCCTCTCGTATGCGGGGCCCAGACGCGAGTGAGGATTGGCACCACGGTCCTGGGTTGATACTTGCCCGAGAAATCCACTGGCAAAATATCGGCGCCGGAGCTTGGTTGGGTGCCAAGTTGAAATACCCGGGTAGACACACATACACTGGGGTCGTCACAACGTGCGTTTTCGTATCTGCGTATTTGCAAAAATGAATAATGAATTTTTATGCGTTTTTTGCAGCTATGCAATGCAGAAAACGCACACTGGCGATGGGTTGTCTGTGTGTGCGTGTGTGTCTGATTGTTCGTCTATACCGATTTTTCATTTCGAGACCTACAAAAGCTGCGGGGCTGAAATTTTGGGAACTTAATCTATATGCACGTACGGGCTCCCATCTCCAAAATGGGCGCTCTTATCTGCGTGGTACCCACGTACGAGTCCGCCAATGTTTTTTACGGGTAAGCTGCTAACTCGGTAACCAGAAAAGCTGGGAGGCTGAAATCTTAAGGTAATGTTCCTCGTCCAAGTGAGTATTAATGAGCTCAAACCCAGCCCCGGTTAAGCGTGGTACCCATGTACGGGCCCGCCAAAATTTTTTTCGGGTAAGTCGCTAACTCGAGAATCTGAGAAGCTAGAAGACTGAAATTTTGAAGGGATGTTTCCTGACAGTCCTGGCGGCCAAACTGAAATTCTTTTAGCTAGAAGCATCTGTCGAAAAAAAAAACAGTGCCATTAGCGACAAATATCTGCGGGAAACTATGCAAAAAACACATCTTCGCACGGGCAACCCGTACGCTGGCCAATTATTGTGTATTCCTGTACTTCACGTTTGGAAACGGCAAACATTCAACTTGCTGAACTGCCGACACTTTTTCTTTCGAAAATCCGTCCTTCTACATGGACGTTTGCTGCCTATACGCGGGCCCCGCAAGCACGAAATGAGCTTCTACATACGCCTGCGTACCGTGAGTAGACAGTTCCATTTTCAAACTTTTTGGCTTCCCTCTTTCACGGCAGCTGGACACAGCAGAAACGTGAAATTTGTACGATCCCACAGTGCGGTGGCACCAGCACAGTTGATGATACTTTCCTTCGAACTTCTAGGAAGATTAACAAGGAAGGAATATTTAGAGTGTAAAAGAATTTTTCTTGCCTTTTTAAGCGTTTTTGCATATATGCAAATTGCAAAAACGCATATTGGGAATAGGCTGTGTGTGTGCGTGTGTGTCTGTGTGTCTGCGTGTGTCTGTGTGTTCGCACTTTTTGTCACCCACTTTCAACTCGAGAACCAGAAAAACTAAAAGACTGAAAGTTTGGGAGTATGCGCCCATATCATGCGCGACTATCCCATTTTAATATCATCCGTATGCGGCGCCCGAAGACGCCTGGGTGCCGCGTACGGATGCTTTAAAAAAATATGCAAACTTTTTGGCGGGAAGGCGATCTCGAGAACCAGATAAGCTGAAGGTTGCAACTTTATAGGGGTATTCTCTGTGCATATGTTAGCTTAAGATTTCAAATTCAGCCCCCAGGTATATGTGGTACTCACGTGAGGGCGTATGAAAGTTCTGGCGGGAAAATTGCTAACTCGGGAACCAGGAAGGCTAGAAAGCTGAAATTTTGGGGCAATGTCCCTTGTGTAAGTACAATTTAAATATTTT